TCCCCAGGTAAGCCTCGCCGCGAGGGGAAGCGGGGCACCGCTCCGTACCCCGCACGCTCGCCTGCGAGCTGCGGGGTGGCGGTCAGGGGACGTGACCCGCGGGAAGAAACGCCGGCTTGTGAGCGCCTTTCTCTGCGCTTCCTCGTAGCGGTAACCGCGGGTGGATGCTCGATGTGTTTAGCTCGAAAAAACGTTTGGAAATGAACAGACAAAACTTATTATAGTCTAAAACTTACTAAGTCTTGATTATATTTTATGTTGCTAAACTTATCCTTTAGAACGTTTCCTCTTGCTTTGGATGTTGGCTCTGGAAGAGGTTACATAGCTCAACATTTAACCAAGGTACCGTCTCTTCATGCTTCAAAGTGTTTAAGTATGTATTTATCCCTCCGTTTTCAAATAGGGCTCTATTGTAACTCAAAACAATCCTCTGAATCTTGACGAGGTAACTCCTTTTTTTTTTCCCCTCTCGTATCTGTAGCTACAGTCCAAAGACGTGTGTTGTGCAGGCTGTTACCCTATTGCCACCGAAGACTAGACAGATAGTGGTGCAATGGAAGCTGCCTGTTGCATGATAGCTAACCTTTAGTCTTGAGTAGGGCGATGCATGTTTTTCGATCGACCTTTGTTGGATGCACTTAGTTGTTAAAGAGAGGTATCATTATGGAGACTTCTAAATGGTGAACCGTTTACCCTTCATGAACTGTGCCGTAAGTAAAGGTACTTCATCGGCTGTTAATCCATGGTTTATATCTGACTGAACTTATACCTAAAAATGCAGAATGTGTTTTCTGGTACTACTTTTACCTCAGCTATTCTCCCTGGGAGCAATTACGAAGTATTATGTTGGGGGGGGAAATGCTTCCTTCCAACTTATTAAAAGTATGTGTAAGCGTTCCAAGAAATTACTAACGTCAACTTGTAAAACAACTTAAATATTTGATAGACTCTTTAAATTTTATTTTAGGAAACCATTGAAAAACTTATCCAAGTTGATATTTCAGAGAATGCTTTAGTAAGTAGCTTTCTGAATGCTAATGTGCTTCAATTCCATAATACAGGAAAGCGAAAGTCAGTTTCTGATGTTGTTTTTCTTCTAACCCAACATTAGAAAAATGCTGTAGACTCTGAAATCCCTACGGTCAGTGTTGTAGCTGATGAGGAATTCCTTCCTTTCAAAGAAGATACATTTGATCTTGTTGTTAGCAGCTTGAGGTATGCGTTAATCACTTATTTAATATCTTTAACCAAAAAATAAATTGTAAATAATCTTATTTTCAGAGTAACTTTAAGGAGAAAAAAGATTAATAGTCCATTGAACAGCAATAAGAAATGTACTTGCATAGTTAATATGAGCATACGTTAGGAAAAACTGCTGTCCTGGTGGTTCTTACTGTTTTGTTTGTTTGTTTTTCCTTTGAAACACGTGTAGCTTCTCTCTTTCCTGCATTTTGACAAACTAGTCTCCAGGACCTGCGCGTTCTCAACTTAAAAAACATCTATTTGTACGAACCTTTGTTTTTATTTAGTATCACTTTTAGGCATTTTGGAACTTTTGCAGCTTGAGAAACTAGGTTGTTGCTTCTTTGGCTTCTGAAACATACTTAGATAATGTAACAATTATTTGCATTGCCTAAATTTTATTTAATATGCAATTACAAAATGTACGCTTCTGTTATTTCAGTTTACATTGGGTGAATGACCTTCCTAGAGCTTTTAGAGAGGTAAGAAACTGTTTTTTAATACTAAACATCAACACTTGCCATTACTTGTATTCAGAGCGCTCTATATTTCCAGGTCCTCTTTAAATAAGAGGCACAGAAATAGCTCATGTTGCACACAAGTATTTTTTGCAGTATTTTTGGCAGTTTGAGGAGCATCAGTTCATATTTCTACTCATTTACTGTCTCAAATCAATTTGGAATAAATAACTGTGAAAAACATGTTTATATAATATTTTATAGTCTCAACAGCCGGGGATCATGGTAACTAATGTAAACTGAGGCAATGCTATTGATTTCATTGTGTGTTAGCTCTTACTACTTGTAGTACAAGAGTTTTCTAAATCTAACTTCTCCAGAACTGGCTTATGGAACTTGTATTATTTTTATGTCTCAGCTATTTATTTTGAAATACAACTTTAATAAGATAAAGGCTTTTTAAATGAAGCAAATACTTGTTAGTATTTGGACAGAAAACTGAAACTGTTACTGAAAAAAATCTGATTTTGGATTATTTCAGCTCCTTCCTGCGTGTGAAAACTCATTTCAAATCAGCTAACTTGGGAGCAAGAACAAGGAGTATTTTAACCAGTTTGCTGTTTTTTCATTTATTTCAAATTGGTCAGTCATTACAGTGCTATTCTGTCACCTGTTGTTATGTATAGGAGTACCCTGCTGTTACGGAAATAATAAAAATAGAAATCAGAATGCCTTCAGTACTTAAAAAAAGAAAAAAAAGGCTTGGCAAGAAATATATTATTTTCTGTGGAATTTAAGTGTTCTGTGGAGTGTCAAATATTTTTACCTCCACAGTAAAAATAACTGACACACTATAGTGTCCCGCAAAGGGGAGGGAGCTGGAGTTCTTGGCCAACTCCCATCGTGAATGCTCATTTCCTACTTTGGGATGACTGGCTTTAACTAATGGAAACTGCTTTCAACTGCCTAAATTTCTTACCTGTGAATTAAAGGCTTCTTTATTAGCATCGAGAAGGTAGCTTGATTAAAAACAAGTTTTAAAGATTTTTTTGTTTCAAATCAGTAAGGTAAACTGTTTGAAGCTTTTGCTGTCTTGCTGGCTCTTCTGGATATCTAAACCAGGGATCATTGCCAATTCTTAAGGGAAAAAGAAAGTATGAATTTGTTGGCCGCCTCAGTAGGGAGGGGGCTAGGACTTACTAGACAAGAAAGCAGCTTGTCAACCTTGGCATTTGAATCAGGATACTGCTATTCTGGCTAGTTAAAAATAAGTAGGGGTAGACATAATAAGAATTGCCTTACTCTATTGTGCGTTCAGAAGTACAAAGATCACCACTAGAAACTAAGGCCTCCATTTCTCTTAAATCAAGCTATTAAAAAGTATTTTTGCTGCCCTCATCTGAGAAACTAAAAGTAAGCAGAAGCTACCTTAATCTACCTTATTTTCAGAAGCAAATTAATCGAGGATATTGTTTTAGGAGTATCCCATTGAAAATAGTTTTACCCTATATTTCCACAGTGCATTTTGTGTTTCCTGACTGTAAGTGTAATTTCTGGGGCTTCACTCTTTCTTAAGAACAAATAGTCTCTTTTCAGACAGATTATTTATCTTGCAGCGTTACCAGAAGCTTTGGTGCAGTTTGCCTTGTGGAATACAGTCAATATTAAAAATCTGTTACAGCTACTATAACGATTTTTTTTTTTAAATGAACTTAAAAGCAAAAAAAAGTCCTAAGAACTTCTTAGTTGCATAGGCTTAATAACAAAAAAACATTAATTTTTTTTTTCTGTGTTGTAGATTCACCAAGTCCTTAAGCCAGATGGAGTATTCATTGGTGCAATGTTTGGGGGAGACACTCTGTATGAGCTTCGCTGCTCTTTACAGCTAGCAGAATTGGAGAGGGAAGGGGGATTTTCTCCTCATGTATCACCGTTCACTGCTGTCTCTGATTTGGGACATCTGCTGTCGAGAGCTGGCTTTAACACCCTGACTGTGGTAATTATAAATAAGAGAACAATCAGACAGAACAATCCAGAACATCAGAGCTGCTGGTATATAAAAAATACTATTTATGAATGTATTAGTAATGTACTGCTTCCTTCTGCATGTTGTGCACCTTGCTGAATAAGTTTCTGAAATAGCCTGGACTGCCTCTGTTCTCGGCTTCACTGTGATTAATGAAACCAACTGAAGTGTATCTTTGGCTAGTGGCCCAGTAGAATTTGGATGGCGGTCTTGGAGAAATGTCAGAGAATATTAGGCCTGCTTGAAAAAACTTTAGACACTCTTGCTGTTTCTTCTAAAATCAAGAAGAAAATAATGGCATTTCAATTAAAATCTGGGCTTGCATTTGGGCTGCTAAACAAAACTTTTTAGAAATGTTAGGACAGTAACATTCTTCTGAGAATTAGGCGGTTTGAACAGAAGTGGCAGATGAATAGTCCATTAGCAGCTCTGAAGGCTAGCATAATGCTACTGTTTTAGCTTGATATGCTCTAAAACTAAGCTGCTCAATTCTTTTAGGATACTGATGAAATTCAAGTCAACTACCCAGGGTTGTTTGAGGTTATGGAAGACTTGCAAGGCAAGTATATACTTTATGGAAACATAAATGTTTTCTGTATCAGTGGTGCAGACACAGAAGAGTTTCACTGTGTGTTTCTTAACTCCAAATTATAGAATGGTTTGGCTTGGAAGGGACCTTCAACGGTCATTTAGTCCAACCCCCCTGCCGTGGGCAGGGACATCTCCAACTAGATCAGGTTGCTCAGAGCCCCGTCCAGCCTGACCTTGAATGTTTCCAGGGACGGGGCATCCACCACCTCTCTGGGCAACCTGTGCCAGTGCTTCACCCCCCTCAGCATAAAAAATTTCTTCCTTAACAAAATATAAATAAAGCTTATTCTAACGGTGGAAGCATTACTTTTTTCCTGACCTCTAGTGAGTCAGGAGATTATGCCTGTCAGCAGATTTGTGTTGGGAGGCAGAAGTCAAAGATTTGCTACTTCGTGGTCTGCTATGAATTTTCTGCTTCCCTTGTATTCCCATTCTTTGTGAGCCTGTTCAGTGTAAGCTGCTGAAAAGCCCTGAAAGGGAGACAGAAGCATATAATCTCACATACTGTCTTTTCCCATGAGCCTCCCTAATGATCAGGACATTCAGGAAACTGCTTTGGAATGAGAATAAATAGACCCTCCAATTGGAGCCTGCTGAGGAAAGCAAAAAACAATTCAGATGCTTAACAATTGAGTTAGTATTGTGATTGCATTTGTCATGGGTTGTAAAGTAGTCATTGATATGCGGTTAGTTGTTATTTACACAGCAATTCAGGGTGTCTTCTTACTCTGGATCAGCTGCTGTTGTTCAGAGTAATTCTTTAATGAAAATAAAACTTTCATTCTCTGCAGAAACATTCAGATGCAGTAAGTGATTAAAGAGATTAGAATTGTGGTTATTTTATTTCTTATTAAAAAACTCTTGGAATAGTCGTTTTGATGCTTATCTGTTTAAAAAAAACAAAAACCAAACAACCCATGAGTGGTGTGTCTGAATAAACACTTTGTACTTGTGCTTAAAATAAATCATGCTAGAAAACCTAAATGTTTGAAGACTCAGGCTGAAGAAGTAATAATTTGAAATCATTCCTAGCAATACAAACTGTAAATTGCAAAGCATCGGTATTAAAAGGCTTGGATTCTTATAGGTAAGAAACTCACCTAATTATTTGTGGTATGTTGTTCTCTCTTACAGTGAGATTCAGAGGATTCTATACTTACTCTGGTTTAGTAAAAATCTGTCATTAGTGCATGACACTTAACTCATGGCATATGCTATATCTTCTTTTTCTTAAAGCTAAAACATATTTTTAGGTATGGGGGAGAGTAATTGCTCTTGGAATAGAAAACCTCTGCTACACAGGGAGACAATGTTGGCAGCTGCTGCAATATACCAAGGTAAGTATTTGAGAGGTAATGAGTTAATCTGAAATGACTTTAAGAACATGTTTCTATGTCTTTTTCTCTGACCTCTGTGTAAAAAAACCAGAAACATTTTGGAATAGAACAAAATACCATTATCGACCAGATATTTTTAACCTTAATTATAATGACAGGATTTGAACTATGTTGATGCACCAGTATGAGATATTTTTATTGTCCCAAATCTTTCACCAAGAGTCATTATGATGAATATGCCATACTTAGTTCTAATGTTCTCAGCACTAAGTATTTCTCAGAACTGACATTCTGTGTACCTTTTTTCTCTCCTTTCCTGCCCTAACAGAAATGTATGGAAATAGTGATGGCTCAGTACCTGCCACGTTTCAGATCTACTACATGATTGGCTGGAAATTCCATGAATCACAGGTAATGTGAAGCTGAATTATTTTCTTTTTGAAGATACTTTTTAAATTACTGATGCTTTAAAAGCTTTTTACAAAATATTTTAACTTAAAATTAGCCCTATATTTTTTTTTCTTCTTTTTTTTCTTAGGCAAGACCAGCCCAGAGAGGTTCTGCAACAGTTTCATTTGGAGATCTGGCAAAAATAGATGGACTTCTTTCAAGGGGAAAAAAATAGTTCTTCATCAGAAATAATAGTTGTCGTGGAGCTTCTATAAAACTTCTCATTGCAGATAATCTTCATTTGTGCTTATTTTATGACGACATTTTGAAATTATTATAATCTGCACGTAGAAGGGGTTTTTGGGGTTTTTACTGCCTATGCTACAACATCAGCTATGTAAAATGGTGTTCATTTTTTGTTTCTAGAGAAATATTTGAGCGGTATTGTAAGTGAATACATGCTCTCCCAACTTTTGATTAAATTACCATTCTCAAATGTAATGCCTTTTCCAGCATTTCAGTATCACAGAGTGCTCCAGGTATGATTTGCAAGCCTTGAGTGTATATCACGCTGCATTATTTTTTAATTTTTTCCTAAAGGATGGTAGATCATAATAAAGAATAGTACTTGGTGGCAAGTGTATTTATAAGACATCCTATAAGAGAAAATATCAGGAAGTACACAGGTCTAAGTTACTGGGTTTTGTGGGTTGGAAATCATGGGTAAAAAGTTACTGTCGGTTACTGTTTGAAACGTGAATGTTTGACTTGCGTATAAGGAAGTGGTTAAGTAAGTTCTGTATTAGAAAAAATCTCAGGTTACTACCCTTCACCTACAACCCTAAAATTCAATTACTTTTTCTTCTACCCCCTACTCTGGAAATGTTTCTGAACATGAATAGTAGAGCTCAGCCATAAAGAAAGTGGGATGCTTCATTGTAGCTCTAACAGAATGCATGTATCATGATTTGACTTAATTTACTGAAAGGAGTAGCTAGCAGAAGAGTCACCTAGCACTCAGATGGACGTGTACGTTTCAAATTAGTTGATTGGCTTAGAATTGGCATTCTCTGAAGTTGGTACCCTTTTGGAGTTCCATGGCATTTTTTTTTACCCGTTCTTTTATCTCGTAGCATTTGAAAAATTAAAGGTGATACTTTATCTAAGTATTAGTTTAAAATACATTTACACGTTACTTTCTGCTTTTCTACTATCAGAGGCTGAAAAGCATGAAGTATACTTTTTTCTCCTTAGCTGTGACATGGAGCTATGACTTTTCCTGTATATAACTGCATTACCAGAAATTGATACTAGTTACAAATATGGGCCTTTAACCTGAGGTGTTTAGAAAAAATACCTACCCAGGGATTTCACTTGATTGTAGTACTGATAGAGAACGGTAGAAACGAAAAGCATGAAGAATATATAATCGGGTATACAGTTTTATCATTGTATCTGGGTGTTGTATCAATACTGGTGAAATGAAAGCTTCTCTAGGCTTGTTTTAAGAAGATTATCCAGCAGGTGGAGTTTGGCAGAATGGTGTGGCACAGACCGAATAGGCACGGTAGAAGCCTTCATATTCTGTCAAGGATTATTGAATTCTGATTCAAAGACTAATACAGATACTAGAGTTACCTCCTACTGCTTAACCAATGTTCGGTTTTCAAAATAACAGAAATGCTGTTTAAAAAGAAACTATTCATGCAGTATTCAGCTGGCTAGATAAATTTAACAGCCTAATTTGGGGGTTTATTTTACCTACCAGGCTTTGACTTTGAATAAGAAATGGGCAGAGAAAAGGTACAACACATCACGATAAGGAGGGTAGGGATATTCTGCCCTGCTTTTGCTTACAAGCCTAATCCATAATCATTCAAGGGGAATGAGTTCATCTTTCATTTTCCTTGGAAAAGAACAGTAACCCTCCTGGAAAAGGGGGAGAGGCTCTAAGTGGTCTGATAACCATTATAGCCCTTTATCTTAAGACTAAATCGAAAAAGAGCTTGTTTCTCTGAAAGCCTCAGAAAGTTTTTTTTTTTTTATAGTACATCAGTGGACTTAATACAAGATATTGCATCTCTCTACAGATCTTCTCTGGCTTAAATAAAATTCACTTATTTCAAGGGGAAACTCTCCAGTTTCCCAGAGGTAGGTTTCTATGAAGTTATGTGTCAAATGACTAACTTTATGTATTTTTGCTTTAGTAGGTTAATTTCTAGTCACTTGAGCTGGTGGTTGTGACTCAGATGTGTTAAGGGAGTGAGGAGGTGGAATGTGCTGGGTAAATGTTAATTGGAGAAGTGCTTGTTTGCAGCACTCGGCTAAGTTACAGAGAAAGGGAAGGGTTTCCAGTTCTTTGATTCCATATTCCACGGATGGACTATGTAAACAGTAAAGTAGGTAAGAATGTGGTTTGGTAATGGGGTAGTGTACCTTCTGAACAGGGAGAAATACAAGAGTAGTTTTTTTCCTAGCACTTGGGAAAAAAAAAAAGTTTAGATATTCTGTTAACTTGGAAAAGGGGTGCAGAGTAATAGAAGTGAGGACCAATAAATACGGCATTGGAGCGGTGTCGGAATTAAGGGGCATGCAACTGACAGGTAAGGTGTTCATTTCTCTGGCTGACTACATTTGAATAACTGCCTTTTATGTGTGTGTTTAACTGCAATATTTTTTTTTCCCCTGTAGTGTTTCTTCTTGGAATTCTAGGTTGCTCTGGTTTCCACTAGTTACTTTCTTTGTATGGCACTTAAATGAATAGCTTTGAAAACAGTTAATTTACTATGAACAGATGTTTTTGTCACGTAAGGCTCTGTTATATTTTCATTCTCTTTTTCAGATTTAAGTCTTTATGGCTTTCTAAAATTGTAATGAAGAAGAATGTGGTTGCCAGTTGCTAGTCTAGAAGTTATTTTAAACTCTGAGTGCGTGTTAAAAATCAGCTTTTGCAGAGTAAGTAACTTGTAAAAAGTAGTTGCTAAGGTGACATAATGTCTCCTGTAAGCTTAGTTAGTTTTAAAAATCTTTGTGCATAATACAGAATGTTTTTCTCCTGATTACAGAAGAATGGAAGGAAGAGTTCTGGGAGATAATTATTTTGACTAATCAAAAGTTAGGAGCCCATAAATAAAAAAAAGTTTAGAAGCAGCACGTTTACACTTCGTGAACATTAGTATTTTTGAGCCTCAAAAAGGTTCTGAGGGTCTGAGCCACAGATCAATGAGCGTGCTTGTTCAGTGTCTTTCACTACAAGATCTGTCAATGTATAGTTTTATGCAAGTCTACTTAGGATATAGGGATGATAATGAGGCCCTACACTTCGTAACCCAAGCATTAGATTTTGCAGAGCCTATGCTTTTAAAGATTCTGAGAATTTGTGAATTTAAAACATTGGAAAGGATTACCCCTAACTTATAAAAATGTCATCAGCAGAAGTACAGAAGTGAACCACACAAAATTAAATTTAACTGTAGCTTTTTAGACTGCTTAAAAAAGACATAAATATGAATGACACTTTTAAAGTGTTTTCTAGAAGTGAGCTAAAACTAAACTTTGTAAATTGTGGGGGGAGAAACACACTAATCTTTCATATGGTGTTTAGTTGGAATTTCCTGATGCAAAGATCTGATCTAGTGGCTTAAATTCATTAGAGCATCTTGTTCAAGAAGCCACATTAAGAAAGCTAGCATATATGTTAAACCTTTTAAATTTTCATTTGTCTAACCCAAGAACTTAATATCCACTTTTCAATGATGTGATCTATTTTGGTCCAGGTTTTGGAGCCATTATTTTGGGGTAGTACAGTTATTGTAGTAGTTTGATTGGAATCAGTCTGAGTGCTGAAGCAAATGTGACCTGTACAGCTAGTTGGTTGATTTCCTGAATATCTTGGGTGCCCTCAGGTGATGGAAAAGGAAAAAGAAAAACCTGAGACAGTTAAGTTTTAGCTGAAGTCTGTGTATCAGTGTGAAGTAGAAAACACTGGAGAGAGTGCGTGTGCTTGTTGTAGGGGAAAACAACTCGTGGCTTAAATCAGGTTAGAACTGAAGTGGTTTGTTGATTTATTAATAGTTTGTAATTAACTGTTAGTCCGTGAACTATACATGCAGGATTAATAGCAGCAATATAACAGATAAATGACTGTACTAGACCCTTACAAAACCTTAGTAAACACCTTCAGATACCTAAACACTCTTCTACAGCAATCCCCCCCAAGTTTGCAGTTATATGCTCACCTCTATCCCTGTAACAGAAGGTTTGGGTTATAAGAGCCCACCCTTCTAGGAGTACATTACCCTATTTACATCCATCCTCTTTGGAGGTGTGGATGCTGTAGCTGCATGCTTACCGGTGCTGTTCCCTATGCTCCACTAATCCACCCACCTGTTGGGATAGCACCCCATGAGGTGATGTGCAGACACCCCAGGAGCGGTCAGTGCTTGTTGCACCTGGTACCGTCAGCCCACTGGCAGGCATGCAGGCTACTCCTGGCTGCTGGGGAGGGTGCTCCCTCAGGCCTCAGCAGGGCTTGAGATGCCAGGAGGGCATCTTCTCAGTGTCGGACCAGGTTTTGACTGCTTCTCTCTTCTCACTGTTAGAAATGTTAGTGCTTTTTATACTTGATTTTAAGCTGACTCTTTGCCCACCCAAGGTCTCTTGGTAACTGCCTGGTTACTGTTTAATGTGGCTGATGGTTGTCTTCGTTTTCAGCCTTACCAGATTTTGAGCACACACTCTCAGTTTTGGATATTCTGTTCACGCGTATTGCACTTGTATTTCTGTCTTAGCGGCTGATGTTGTCCAGGCTTTTTTGCCAAGAGAAGGCCATGTGGATTTCCCCCACGATCTGGAGCTGTTTCTTGGGGTACAAGGTACATTCATAAAGTAAGAGACAAAGTCCTTCTCAGAAAAAATGTTTCTGTTTGGAACCTTGTACAAGTGCAACTTGAAGTTGGGATGTGCATGTTGTGTGTGACTTCTGGTCATTGCCCTATTTTAATCATAGAATCATTAAGGTTGTAAAAGACCTCTAAGATCGAGTCCAACTGTCGACCCAACACCACCATGCCCACTAAACCATGTCCCTAAGCGCCTCATCTACACGTCTTTTAAATACCTCCAGGGTTGGGGACTCAACCACTTCCCTGGGCAGCCTGTTCCAATGTTTAACCACTCTTTCAGTAAAGACATTTTTACTCATGTCCAATCTAAACCTCCCCTGGCGCACCTTGAGGCCATTTCCTCTCGTCCTATCACTTGTTACTTGGGAGAAGAGACCAACTCCCACCTCGCTACAGCCTCCTTTCAGGTAGTTGTAGAGAGCGATGAGGTCTCCCCTCAGCCTCCTTTTCTCCAGGCTAAACAACCCCAGCTCCCTCAGCCGCTCCTCATAAGACTTGTTCTCCAGACCCCTCACCAGCCTCGTTGCCCTTCTCTGGACACGCCCTAACACCTCAATGCCCTTCTTGTAGTGAGGGGCCCAAGGTAATATTGCACCCAGAGTTTGTGTCAGTACACTAAGAAAACAGAATAAAACTACCCTTGTGCATAAATGTATTTACCATGAAAAATTCCATAGTTCTGATCAAATATAATTTCTGGTTTCATAGATGACAAAACTACAGGGACAGAAATGT